GGGTGGCTCCTCAGTTTTCAGTAAGTCCATCATCCACTCCCACCCAGAAATGTCCTAAATCGATCTGCTGGGCTTTTCTTCTTCAAGTTAATACCGCAATTAACAGGAAGAAAGTGCTTGAAGACCTGCAACAGAACTGAGGGGAACAGAGCAGGTGCCAGAGTACAGCGGGTGGGTAGGCCAGGCTGCAGGGCAGTGTCTGGCTTTCAGAAGCAGGCCTGGCATCTGGTAGGAGCCTGCACCAGTGGGGGGTAACTTTACCTGGTGTGCAAGATGCCCCATTCGTTTTACCATGACAGAGTTTCCATCCTGGCCCTTCTTTGGCCTCTCAGACTCTCTGGCTCCTTATCCCAGCAGGGCTGTCCCTATTGTCTGAGGTTACTAAATCCATTTTGCTGCTATCAAATTAACCTTCCAAAGCACAGAGAACATCCTGGCCTCCTTCATGGCCCACCCCAGCCTCGTGCCCACTGGGAGCTGCTCCTGAGGAAATGGCCCTGCTGGGCAAGGAGAAGTGATAGCAGCAACAAATGGAGGAAGCTCTGTGGCCTTCTTCATCCACCTCAGTAGCCTGTCCTGTGGGCCCACCATCAAGGGAGAAGATAGCAAGACAGCTCAGGAGACAACAGACCCCTGATGTGAAGGGGCAGGGTGGAAGAGTGGGGTACATGCATGAATGACCGAGTTCAGAGAAACACAGGGAGGCAGCACTGCAGGAGGTGGAAGAAGGATTGGCAGACGGGATTGTGGGTGACATTAAGGTCGGAGTCAAGCTGACCAGCATGGAGGGGAAGAGTTGAGGTCTTTGGTCCTAGGTAACAAGTCAGTTCCTTTTGGAATCTTGCCATGAGTGTGGCAAAGGGGCTCCATGTGTGTAGGGAACTCACTGGTCTCTCAGTGTACCCTGGGGAGGAATGGTGTGGGGTATGAGGAAAAGATAGACAAGAGACAAGAGCTGGGTCAGACGGAAGTGACCTCTTACCTGATGGGTAACAGGACCTTCCCAACAACAGTAGGGCCTTTACTTATACTCTTGCAAAGTTAGTATCATGAGAGGCAAGGTTGCCTAATGACTAATAAGAATAATAACTGAATTGTCCAGGCAGGATGCTTTTCTCAAGAATGAGGTAGCTTGACTGCTTGCAGCACTCTGGCTCTGTCCTGCCCTCACACATATGACCAGTTTCTAGGTTCAGCCGCTCCCAACATCTCTCTCTTCTC